TGCAGAACCAAAAGCTTGTGCAATGTATACCAAAACGTTTACATTCTTTTATTTTTTCCCCTATTTTTGTATCAATCTTCGCCGTAATGTGGACCATCCTTGGTTATTAATATATTAAACTGTACTATATATAAAGGTAACAAATCATTCACTAATTGATATCATTACAAACTGAACAGGAGACCTAAGTGCAAGGTTTTAACAAAAGTCCTTGTGCCTAAGTAAGCTTTATTTCATATATATAAAAATTATTGGACTACTCTTTAAAGTAAAGTTCATTGGTTTCAACTGCTTTCAGCCTTGTCATCTTTCTATCAGTAATTGAATTTGACGCTGGTACCACTCCTTTGGTTTTGGGGCAAAGACATTTTCATATCCAATATTTACGTCCTCGTTATTATAAAAAATACAACTTGTGAAAAAACAAGCTATTGATCTAAACAAACCACAATCTGATCATACAATGGGCTATACGCAGAAAGGGGTTGAACGTTTTCTGTTTGTAGTTCCCATAATTTTTCACAACCGAGAACGATGTGCAGAGGCATTGAGTTGCAAAATGGATTATTTCTTGTTGACTAAAGCAGGGAGTACTTTTCACTCAAAACTGCCTAAATTCTAACTAGCTGTACAGAGTAATAGTTTAAGTTCACAACCCAACCATCACGAACAAGCTCAAAATGGAAAACGCCGTATTCGCTATACGGCTTATATTCCAACTGATGTAACGCCTGAACCAAAGTCCAGCAGTAATTTGATCTATAACTGACTATCTTTCTATAGCACAAATTTCTTCGGTGGCTGCCTTTGCGCTTACACCTCTTTTCTAGTAATGTCTCAAAATACATTGTGCTAATCACGATTTTTTTCTTCTGGTAGTGCATGTACGTTTTAAAAATGTAAATAAAGCCACGAAGCTAACTCAAGTCACAAGGAATTAAAAAATTAGTCAAAGTAAACGTTGACATAAATAGTAAGAACAAAAACATTCTTATATGATTAACTGAAATTAAATATTGTATTGAGGATTTTTGCTATAACTTAGTATTTATACTTCTCTGCATTATATAAAAAAGTTTTTGATGACTGCTATATTTCATTTTCTATCAAGAAATTAAAATGTTATGATTATTTCTATTATATTAAAAAGTTTTCATTGACCATGTAATATTTTATTTTTCAATCAGAACAAATTAAAAATTGTTTTTCCTGCTTACACTGAAATGTAAAAAAAAAAAATAGTATAATATGAACTACGGAATACATTTAAATTACAGATATACAATTAAACGAACAGTTGTGTAATTTGTAAAATGGTGGTGCCCCCATAGTAATAAATTATTATATTTTGTACCTAATAAATATTAAACATGATACTTATCGATTTTATTTATACTTACTATATAATTACAAGTTACATTTTATTCCAGTTTGCGGGGCTCTATATATAGACCCGACGACGAAGATGGCAGAGATAAGCTTAACTTTAACCGGTCGTACGGCCTTCTCAGCAGTCTTTTCAAGTAAGGATATTTTTTATTTTCCTAATAGGAATTATTTATTTATTTATTTGTTGGTTAAAGTCTACAAATGAATGGTGTTGGCCTGAATTCTATAAAATAATAAACAGTTTGTAACTTTGGAAAAGATTTATTTTAAGTATTACCTTGAAGAAAACAAATAAAAACAAAACTATTAACCATCTAGCCTGATTCAACAAAAAATTATAAATACCAATAAAGTCTTATCGTGGAGACACATCTACTAAAAAAACTATTTTAAAATAAAAACTATTTTCGTTTGATTAAAAAAAGTTATCACAGGGTAACTCATGTTATAATAATGAAATATTACTAAAATAAACAACTTACTATAATTAATTTTTAAATATATTGTTTTAATAACAACAATAACGTGTAATAAAAAAAATTAAAGATTCTTCCTATTTTACAGAACAATATTTAGGTCATGATGTACGGTTTTAAACAGAGATGGGCAAATGCTACTCTAAGTACCGAGTACTAAGTATTTTACTGAAATTGAATCTTTATTGGGAATTCAATTAAGCGTTTGACATCAAGTGAAGTAGTAATTAAATTCTTCGGTACTCGAAAAAGATCAGTATTTAAATAAAATACTTGGTGGGCGGGGTGGCCGTACGGGCTAACATGTGTGCACAGCACCGCTGTTGCCCGGCAACCTGATCTATGATACAATGGATTTAAACATGTGAAGAGTTCGCGTCCCGGTGCCGGGGGAGTCTTTTAAATCCCCGCCCACACCCCCTGGCCCAGGAAAACTCCGTATAGTCTTAAAGACGAGGACCAAAAAAAAAAAAAAAACACTTGTTACTCAATACTCAGAGTAGCATTTGTCCATCTCTGGTTTTGAAGTGAGGGATAGAACATCCATTACGAAACAAAAAACAATTGGTGATACAATATTGAACATGATACAACGTTCACCACTTACCATCAGTACTAGAAATAGATATTTTCACACACAGGAGACTGAGAGTAAAAATTATAGATGGTATGATATATCATTTAAAAATTTAATTACCACATATTTTTCATATCCATCTAATGTATTTTATTTATGCGGTTTTTATCACTAAGCATTTCCTTTTATGACTGTATACTTTAATTATTTACTTAATAATATTAAATAATTTAAGTGCCACAAAACTTTTTTATTCCGATAAGAGTGCCAATGATAAAGAAGGCCGCTTTCTTTTTTATTTGTATAAGCACTGATATATACACATATTTTAATTTTTACATTGCGGTAATCTACAAAATTAAATATTAAATAATACCAGCGCTAAAATTTCTGAAAACCGCACATGTATATGTATTTAGATTATTGAAGCCTATTTGAAGGGAGCCTATCCTAATCTTTTGGCCAACGATTTCATCAGTCCCACATTACAATGTCTTTATTTCTCCTTTAGTCAGTTATAAATTTTATCTCATAGTTTATGTTTAACCATTTTTTTTATTCTTAGTTATGTTAAATGGTTATAATTATTTCAAATAAACGTAATCAAAGTTACATTAGCGAATTTTATCTACCATCATTTTATATTAACTGTTTTAGTCCGTGGTGCAGACTCCTTTTTATAAAATTATTAACATCCGACTGAAACTTCGTAAACAGCTTCATCTTATCGTAACCTACAACTATTTTATTTACGAAAATAATCTAATAAGATTATTATTCAAACTATAATAAGAATTGGAGCGTTTTCAATCTGGAGGGGGGCAAAATTTGTCTATTTTATTAGTTACTAAAACTCATAAATACCCATTTCTAATTTGATCACAAAATAGAAAATATAGGCGACC